CTGCAGCTGCAGGTGCCCCCACAGCCTACGGAGGATGGCAGCCCCTTGATACACACACCATCCACTCTGGGATCTGCAGGGAAAGGTACTTCCTGTTCAAACAGAGACCATCTTTCAAACAGCTGGACCTGGAAGTTACCAGGAAAGGCAGAAGGGAGAGTTGACCCTTGGCTGAAGACAGGTAGCCATGCACCACACTGCCAACCAGCTCCAGGAACAAAATGCCCCTAACCAGACAATATGTCCTTTTTGGTTCTGACTTATGGGTCATGAGCATCTGGTGAAAAATAAACTTTAAAGAGGTGAACCCAAGAAACACTGCATGATTTGGAAAGGAATCCAAAAATCTCATGACTTCCCCCCCTCCCCAGGTTCAGAGAACAGTCCCCCTGGAACCCCACTTCCAACATTGGTCCTCAGCTCCTCCAATTGGCAGCAGTTGCCAAAAAGTCCAAGGCCCCTCCTGATTTCCATTCTGCAGATCGACAACCATATGAAACATACAAATTCCCAGGTGAAGAAAGGGAAAGAAATAACACTTCCATGTGCCTGTGAAGAGTGGGGAGGGTAAAAAATGAGGAATGCGATTTTCTGATCCCCTCTATCAATTCCATTACAAGCTATAATAAGGCCCAGAAACAAGCTCACTCTAATAAATACTTAACACTGCTTCCCGAGGTCTTTTTCCCAATGAACAATTTCACTTATCTCCTTCAAAAGAAACTGCTATTTTTTTTTAAAAGTCCTCCTACAAATTCTTGTTTTTGGAATCCCGTCTTTATAAAAGGTTCCAAAATTGCTTCTATTTATCTCAGTGGTGATTAAACACGTGGGAGCTCTAATCCAGGAAGCTGGGTTTGCATCCTCGCTCTGCCAGTTCCTGGCTACAGAGCCACACTGCTAACTAATCGGCTCTTGCTGTATAGATTCCTCATCTGCAGGGTTTGTTCCAATTAAATGAGTAGGATACAGCTAAAGCACTAGAACAAGAACCAGTAAACAGCAAGAACAAGACAGGTTAGCTACCACAACTCCTGCCTGGATGAGACTCTGAACAAAAGGATCCAAGTCCTCTTGAATCCACTGAACACTGTTCCACTGGCCGAAGGGCTGGCTGATCTGAGATGACATTTATAGGAAGCAAATGAAATTCAAATACAGCTAATAGCTCCCCTCTCTTACTGTGTAATTATGCATGCTCATTATTTGTGTAGCATGTTATTATTTAAATGTCCCTAATTTCAGCCCCTGCGGGCCAAGGGCCCTCAAAGAGTGGCCAAGGTCTCAGCCTCTGCCAGTCCTTTCCAAAGCTTTTGTCTTTTATTACAGTCAGAAAAAAGTGGCATTATCTACAGCAGGAAGTAGACAGAAGGCCCACAATCAGCAAATCTTGGTACCGCCTCGCCCCTAAGCCTAGCAATAGCCAAGGAGCTGCAATAATGGCTTCGAATTCTGCAGACAACCCAGGAGGCTGTTCAAGACTCCCATTTGCTACTTGTACTAAGGCACAAATATCATTCCTTGTCAGCTCAGAAGCACCAAAGCAAGACTGATGGCAAGCATGGATTTTATGACATAAAAAATGAGATCCCTCTACTATCTAGCATCTGCCAGGGCTATTACTACTCCACCAGGCCTGCAGAAACGGGAAGGCCGAGCCCAGCCGCTCAGATACAAGCTGCACTGTGTGTTGGCCATTAACAGACTCCAGACACCCAATGCCCTCTGAAAAACTGTAAGGGCAAAGGGCTGCTGGCTCATCAGACCAGCATGCCGGCGATGGAGCAGAGGGGGTGGCAATTTGTTTTTAAATGAGGTAAAAATTATGACGAGACCATGCCATTGTTAAGCAAAATAATAAAAAACCTGAATTTTTCCAGGAACCAATAGTCCAGAAACATCTTTTTAAAAATTTTTTTTTGAGGGGGCGAGGGGAACAGGGTAAAAAGAATAATGCACCTTGTTCTAAAACTCAGTGTCACTCCACTGGTTCTGTGTTGTAAACTGCACAAGGCTTGGGCTGTAACAGTTCCAATTCTGCTGCTGTGAAAAAATACCTGTGTGCCTTGAGAAATGAATGTCACTACTACATACAACATTCACAAGGCCACTTTATTCAGATTAGACACAAAAATGTCAGGGCTCCCGGAGGCCCAGCCCGACCTGAAGTTCCACATTAAAAAGCCTGAACAGGCAGGAATGGAGGCCAAGGCCGCCAGCACCAACCCAGCTCTGACTCTCACCTAGGAATGCACTTTAAGCTGGGAGTCACCTCCCAGGGACAGCCCTGCCTTTCTCCCTGCCACATTTCTTGGCAAGCTGGACCAATGGAATCATTTTAATCTTTGAAAAGGAATCTGAAGGGGGCTGACTAACTCCAACTCTTTAAACCAAACCCTTACACCTTGCATGACTTCATCGCTGTTGCTTTCCTCTCCCCCATGAGGAAGGATCTGACTCCATGCGACCTTTAGGACTAGGCTTTTCCTATGGGATGGGGGTACACATGGGGGCCAACAGCACAGCACCATCCAAACTCACAGCCTGGAACCACCATTCACCTTGCGCCCACACTTCCCAGCCCACAAAAGCCTGGTGCTTTAGCGTTGTTGGGATCTAAAACACACAGCAGATAAGGGCACCCACAGAAGAGGGTGCTCCACAGTGCCCATCCTGCATCCCTGCATCCTAATAACTCTACCAAAGAAGGCGTATTTCCACAAATAGCTGCCTTTAAGATTCTTAGCTTCTGAAGCAAGTTCAAGATTCTTCAGTTTAAAGCAACAATGAATGGCTACAGGAATCGGATATGCACAGTAACCCTCCCTCCCCAGCTTCCTTGGGAAGCTGCCTGCACAGACACCTACACAAACCAGAAAACACTCACAGCCATCCCACCAGCAGCCCACGCTTCAGCAACTGTGTTTTTGTTTTTAAAACAAGCAATTCTTACCAGGGTGAAAAGTAAACCACATGACAAACTCCAACCTCTTGCCTTGAAGGCAGTATAGGAACCAAAGTCTGTGATCCCAATTGAGATCTGTTCCAACTTTTCTTAGAATTTCTTCCAGTCTCATCAACCCCCAAACGAAGTCAAAGCTAAATTTGGCCAACTGGCAAGTAGCACAGGCTGCTTCTCCAGTGAGTAAGTTTTTGCTTGCTCAGATTCCACTATTACTAACTCCTGGATAACTGGCTACTTTCTCCTAACACCTGGTGCCTCCCAGGTAAGAAAGGAGGGGCTGCTCTTTCACTGTCCAATTTGAAGAGGCACTAAGGCATCACCCTCCTGAGGGGTAGGAGGGAGGCACATCTTCACATACTGTGAGATACATAGAAAACCTCAGCAGCTAGTGCTCTGGAACTCAGTGAACCTACCACAATCACCCCACCTTCAGACTCCCAAAAATCTAACAAGGCAGAATGGTGTGTGCAATGTGAAGCAATAGCAAGAAACTATTACACTAGGTGTTCCCAACAGCCACAGGCTTAGAGATTGGTGTGTTACAGGTGAGGAATAGAGAGGGCTGCAGTCTACAGGAGACTACACAAAAAAAGGTCCCTTTAGGAAAATTCAATATGGTGGCCCAAATTGTATGCTTATAGCAAAGGATTCTGAAACTTATTCTGCTTGGTGTATGGGCCTTTCCCATACACACTGGCTCAGATGACTGGAGGACAGGGGCAGAGCATGTAACACACATGGCAGAGTGGCCGCAGCCAGCATGGTCGACCTTCAAAAGCCCGTCACATTACATAAGGAAGAAAACCCAGGGCGGAGAGGTCTTTCAAGCCAGGAAATCATGGAAGAACACTGAATTAAGAGCGAAGCAAACGAGGTGGCACATGCACGTAATCCCATCAACTCCAGAGGTTGAAGCAGAAGGCAGCAAGTTCCGGACCAGCTTTAGCAACTTAGTGAGGCCCTAAGTCATGTAGCAAGCGCCAGACTCAAAAAGGGGCTGGGGATGTGGCTCAGTAATGAAGCACCCCTTGGGTTCAATCCCTAGTACCAAAAAAGAATAAAGCAACCCGAGTGAACTCCAGAAGCAGGTCGGCCAACAGGCCCTGTCTAAAAACACTGCCAGAAAACTCACCTACAAGAGAAGCAGGCAAGAAAGACACTGGAACCCACAGGTGAACTTCCGTCAAGTACCCCACATGTGATGCCTTTCCCATGACCAGAACCAAAGGTTAAAGAAAAAAGAAACAATTTCCCCCGCTCCTTGCCCATGACCAAGGACAAAATGGAGCTCAGGCTATTCAGACATTATCTATAAATTCATGCACAGGAGACTATGGCTTATCTCTGAAGCACAAACATGAGTCAACTGTCTGTCCTGTTTTCAGATGAGCTCATCAAAACCATAGGAATCCTGGGGCTAGGGTTGTAGTTCAGTGGAGGAGCGCTTTCTTGGTATGTGTGAGGCACCGGGTTTGATCCTCAGCATCACATAAAAATAAAAAGTATTGTGCCCATGTGCAACTTACAAAAAATCACGTAGGAATCCTGATAAAAGTGGGATTCATAAAAAATTCAGAAGGGAGCAAGTTTCCTTCCAGGTATCAGGGATCCGCTGGATATCTATGCAGGAAGAGGACACTTCCAGGAACACAGGGATTCCAGGCCACTGCACCCAGGGACGGCAATAAATTCAGGATATTTCCTTAAACAAATGTGGCAAAAACTAAGGCTGCACAGCTCTTCAGAAAAATGAAAGGGTCTGTGCACATACTTGGGTACTAAGATAACCTAGAAACAGCTACAAGACAGGCTACGACAAACAGACAAAGGCACCTTGTCCATCCTACCTTGCGCTGCATAAAGGGACATAAGTCCAAACCTGTAAACCCAACAGCATATCCACAATACATACTCACACAGCCTACCAACTGCCCTGGGGTGCTCAGCCTCAGTCAAAACCCACGCTGCCAGAACACGATTCAGAACCGAGGCTGTGCGCAGAGGTGACGTCCAACTCCAGCGAGCACCAACTCACCATTCACCCCTTTCAGGCTCCCAGCAATGCCTTCCCCGTGCTGGCGCTTCTGGGCATTCTTGAACTCCTTCAGAGACAAATAAAGGACTTTGCGTACCACCCTTTCTTCTGACCAGGGAATCCCATCACTGTCATCCTGGGGAAACATAGCAAAGACAGGGAAGGAGAGGAGTTAGTAACAAGCAAGCCAACAAATATTCACAAGACTTTAAAATTTGTATCCCAAACAAATACCATGTGACCAGGACCCAGAGCTGGAGATTTGGGTCCCATCCCAACGTAAAGAATTAGCACCAGCCCCAAACTGATCCCCAGGTCAGAAATATGAATCATCTCCCTTCCCTCTGTGTCCCACTAGCAAATAAATTAATTAACTATGAATACTGTAATATTCCTGGCAAAGTTCAGAGAAGTGAGCTGTCACACTCAAAGCCAGAGGTGCACAGAACCGTTATACTGAAATTTGATCAACTGGATAATTCCAGACCATACATAGCATTCCATACGGGCAGCAGCACACCTTAGGAAATTTGGTTATCCGATTTGGGAGCTCAAAGAATACTGCAAGACAGAGGCGCTGCCTTCAAGAACCTGACAACTCCATCAGAAGACATGAACTGGCTCTGCACTGGCCTCTTAACACAATGAATCACAAAGGAACGAGGAGAAAACAGATGGCAATGGATCCCACTGGGGTACAGATAAGATGGCGACTTTAAAACAACAACATGGAGCTGGGTGTAGTTCAGTACTGAAGCGCTTGCCCAGTACTCGTGAGGCCCCAGCTTCAATACCCAGCACCAAGAATGATAGCACATTAACAAGAGGCCTCAAGGTCTTGCTTCAAAGTGGGGTTTTCTTATATCTGTAGATTCAGACCCATGCAAGTGCTTGGGAGAAGAATTAACAGAGTGCAGGCAGTAAGCCCAGAGAACATTCCAGCAGTAAAGATATAAAGAATTTGAAAAGCACTGCAGGTGTCAGGGGAGGGAGATGAAGTAGGGACTGGAGACAGCAAGATCTGGGAGATTGGGAATGGTGAACAGTAGTTGCAAACCTACGTAACTTTTAGAAGACACCCAATTTAGGGATCCAGCAAGAAAGTTTTTAAGATATTCAGGCACCAATTCCTCAGGAAAAGAAAATTCAGAGGTTCTGGCCTGTGGATTTCTGCATACTGTCTGCCAATCTAAGAAGGGCTTCCATTCATACATCTACTTCAAAGACAAGCAGTCTACAACAGTTAGATTTGGAAATGGGAAGTATATGCACTTTCTCAGATACTTTGGGCCTTATCTAGAATACTAATGTTTTCATTGTTATCATATAAGACATGAATTTGAGATATTCAGGTTCTTTCTGCTCCAGCACAAGGCGCAAAACTCAGGGCACTCTGGCTCTTGGGTGGTCTGGTGCTGATGGACTAGGTTGTACAAAAGAATTGCGTTTTCACTGCTGCCACAGAATGCAAGCAAAACCTCCACAGATCTCAAGGCTGGATTATCTGAAGTCTTTCCCAGCTCTTTCAAATTTCCACACCCTGCATGAACACAAACTGCAGCCTAGAAATCCAACCACATAAACACTTTTAAGCCCCTTATAACTTAGGCTACACTCTGGTTAAGCTTCAAGGATTTCCTAAAAGGAAAGTAACTCTGCATCTTTTATAATAAGTGGAAGACAGACCCAAGGAAGGAAGAGAGCCAACACCTGCACCTTCCCCTAGCTAGGCTGTCGCTTGCTCCCGAAGGGCTGCCAAGTGGAGATTTTCAGAAGAAAAAGATGTTACATCCTGTCTCCTGGTGACCCTCCTGACAGGGCCAGGACATCCAGGTACCAGGATGGCCTTCAGGGCTTGGCCAGGAAGGCTGAGAGGGAGTCACCTAACAAGACTGGGAATCATTCCTAAAGTTCTAGTGGGTGCAATCCACCTTACAATCACACGATTAAAAACCAGAAAAAATGCAGCGCTCTGGTCAGACCCCATTTGTGAGATCCAACCAAACAACCCAAGTCGAATGCTGATGACCTGGCCAGGCCACACACGGAAAGCAAGAGGTATCTGAATTAATTTTTACAGCAGCTCCCTTGGGTTGCAAGAAGTTCCCCCAGAGTACTAGCTGGGGCTGAGTGATGGTGTTAACTGCAGCAGGAGTTAACGCTCATGAGGCTTAAGTCCACCTTCTCTGCAGCCACTGTCCCCTCAAAGGCTGAGAGGCAGCATTCCGGGCCACCAACAGGCCCCAGTCTCATCATCTGCATCTCCACAACAAACAATGACGCCAGATGATAAACTATTATCTACTATACGTACACAGTTTATAAATTATAAGATCCCAAAATAGCTTTCCACATAAAACTCCCACGGCGATTTACTGCATCCTGTGTAGTTGGTGCCTTCATCCCCTCTTCAGGCTCGGGAGGAGAGAATTACCCCAAACGCTCAGCCTAATCAACAGCAGCAACTGTGAGCTGGAAGTGTCCTCAAAGGAAGCCCCACGGAAGGTGCGGCCATTCACTGGCAGCAGCTGCTTCACTACACCCAAGTGCTTTAAATACAGGAGAAGCAATCTATGACGCGGGGTAGGGGAGTTCAGATTCTTTAAAAAAAAAAAAAAAAAAACTGCATCCTTTTGTGATCTACAGTGCCCGTCAAGACCCGTCATCTCCCTCAACGCTGAAGCAAGACACACACCTGGTGGGTAACACACTGACAGGTGGGTAGTAATTCAGAATCTTCAATAGGACACTCCCTTTTGCAGCTGCAGAGTCCTGGTGAGTCACCCTGACCCTGCACTGCTCCCTAGTGGAATGCTGGACATGAGGGACACCCCAGAGCAGTTCTCCAACTTACTCTGCTGTGGCTACCTGCCATTCCCAAGTGTCACTGCCCAGTGCTGTAGGGAAGAGTCCTAATGGAACAGTACAAACTCTAAACATGGGCCTTCCTTTTAAACCCCTTTCCATCCCTGCTTTATGCCACCAAGCCTTCAAGCAATGTCCACACAGGGTGGGGCGACTTGATCTGGGTCACCACTGGATCCCAGCTCCTGAAACATGTTTGACGTAGGAAAGCCGTGTTTGGGATTCCTTAGAAACTTAAGGATGCTGGACTAGGGATGCAGCCCTCATGTAACCCCAGGTTCCATCCCTAGGCCCCAAAACAAATCTAACATGCAAACAGAAACACTTTACAAAGCTCAGCCTCACCCATCCTTGCCTGTCAGCACCGAGCCTCAGGCCACAGGCAGTGTGTGTTGAGCAAAGGGCCTGAGCTCACCACAATTTTCGTGACTTAAACCACTGCTTCCCCCATAAAACGCTCCCCAGGGTGACTAATGCCAGAGCTCCTGGCTACACCTCTGGTTCCCAGCAGTAAGCTGAGACGAAACTCCCACACTCGCCAGTCGCCACCACCCACCTCAACCACCCGGTTGCCTGCCAGACAAAGTGTCATCTCACAGTCCACACGGGCATAAGGGCCCGTCACTGCCTCTTCTGCTAAGTACAGACAAGTCCTCAAAAAATGCTGGTACCCTGCTGCTCTTCCCCGGCCTCCCAACCACAATGTGGATGGGCTCGTTCCTACTCTTCCGTCTCGCCCAAGTCCAGCAACGTGGCTCTGCCTCCCTGCAGATGGAGTAAGTTGGGATATGATCGGGCAGTAATGAGAGGGTGCTCCACACGCCCAGGCGCCTGCCCATTGTGGTTTACTGGCCAGCTCAATATAGAAGACGCAGCCATGAAGCCTTGAAATGGAAAAGAGGGTTTTCCTCTATTTGGCCACATGTCTGCCAAACCTTGAAGTGATTAGACAATTTCTTATCAAAAAATAGCAACCGGGGCTGGGGATGTGGCTCAAGCAGTAGCGCACTCGCCTAGCGTGTGTGCGGCCCGGGTTCGATCCTCAGCACCACATACAAAGGAAGATGTTGTGTCCACCGAGAACTAAGAAAAAATAAATAAATGTTGAAATTCTCTCTCTGTCCACCTCTTACTCTCCCTCTTTAAAAAAAAAAAAAAAAAAGCAACAGCCCAAGGAAGCAAAATGGTAACAGTTGTATGGGTTTGGGGGGCGGGGGAGGAGATGATGCAGACAGCACTATTTCAACCCCTCATAACAGCTCAGAGTCCAGGGTAGAGATGAAAACAGCCTTCTACCTTCCACCTTATGACTTATAACCTTCTACCTTATAACTCCCTAGTCTTGCCACCTGACTTCCAGCACCTGGCACTGCTAGAAATTCATGCCCACACCTGGTCAGCCTCTGCATTTTACCAAGATCTCGGAGTTGCTTGTACCATCCTCTGTCCATTTCTAACTTTTAGCAGAAAAATACAGGCCAAAAAAAGACAGGAAACCCCAAGACGAAGGTTCCCAGCAGCCATCTGCTGCTGCCATTGTGACTGCAGAACCAAGAAGTCCACGCTGATACGCCCTGGTGAGGCCTCCCTCAGTTCCCTGCCGTGACCAGAGTGCACAAGTGAAACCCTTCCAATCACCCCTGGATGACTGACACTCTGGCATCCTCACCTTCCACTTAGCTGGCCTGACTTCCCTCTAAAATTCAGCACCCAGAACGAATACAATGTGAAGCAGGAGTCACACATTCTAAAGTGAAGATAGACTTAGGATGTCACTAAGCTTGATCCTCTGTGGAGATGCTTTTTGTTTCTTGGGGTTACGGGGTAGGAAATGAGGAGGGGGAGTGCTGTGCATCACAGTGCGACAAAGGAACTAACTGACAAGTAGCACGGCTCTCCTTACATTTCCCCTGTGCTCCACTCCTGCACTAAGGATAAATAAACACTCCCTCCCCCAAAAAAACACGTGTGCCTGAGAATGCAAACCAAGTTGTATAAATGGAATCAAGAGACTGCAAGACAAGGCAGAAATGGGATTCTCACTTTTCAAAACTGGATTATTGTTCTGATATACTACTCTTACTGAACAAAGAGTTCTCATCTGTCACAGCTTTCTCCGTGACAGACAACACCTCAAAAAGATGAGCTGTCAAAACCTCCTGTTTGCTTAGACTAACATATGTTAGTGCAAGTGAACAGGGACGTCCAGGTGAGTGCAGTGTGCGGAGCAGGCTAAGGAAAGGGGCCGTCCCAGTGCGGTGATGGGGGGGG